GGTGGTCGCAAGCTGGGATCGTTCCCAGCTCCGCTACCAACTAAACTTGTGGCGGCTGAAGCTGCACAAGAGAAACCATTGCGAGAAAAAATGTGAATTGCAGTGTTTACCTTCTCCGCACGTTACTCAGGTACGCGCTGGCGCTGAAGCCAAACGGCGTCAGAGCATCCTATTTGAGTGAAGGAGGTGGAGGAGGAGGAGGAGGACGGGGATCGACGACGACGAGGAGAGTGAAGACGCGGAGTGGGAGGATGAGGGGTTCAGGAGTGGGGGGGCAGGACCCATGCTTGGAACAAGGAAATGTCGGAACAGGACCTGGACCACGGTGAGCGGACTAGGACCGAACATCACCGCTCAGCACTGAAGGCCGAGCAAGTTACGCACCGACAGGAGGGGCACCATCTGCCCAACGAGGTGGGAAGAGGAGGGGGAGGAGGAGGATCGAGGTTCGAGGTTCGAGGATCGAGGTTCGAGGATCGATATGCTTCAACGTTTGGGCCCTTTTCTGCACCGCCAGAGGCTTCAGGACACCTCCAGGTGGGAGGAGGAGGACGAGGAAGAGGAGGAAGAGGATAGCAATCTGATGAGAAGCAAGTGCAGCGCAGGGGTTTTTACACTGCACTTGAACTTTGTTTCCATACTTCACTCTTTCCTTCAACATATCGAATACTGTCTGCTCGCGTTCGTCTCGAGCGGTTTCGCTGGAAGCTTGATGCTGGGAGGCAAGATGTGCCGCGTTGCTTTCGGGCAGGCGCGCGATGCAGGCAAGGTGGAGGAGCACTCCCGCAGCCAGGGACGGCAGGCACGACGTGGCCTCGCGGCGGGGGAATTATGCCAGGTGCTGACCTGCGTCTGCGTCCGTGGATCGCGGGCCAGAATACCCGAACGGCCTCGACAAAGTAAGTACGCAGCCGACGCCGTTTGTCCAGCATCAGGCAAGCGCAACTCCTGCGTGTGAGCGTGGCGGGGGGCGGGGCCCCTACACCCCGCGCCGGCGGCCACCATGCTGGGGCGGGCCCCTGGAACCACACCCAGGTGCACCGAAGAGAGGGGGCCGGGAAGGGGCGGGGGTCAGCGCATCGTGGCCCAAGTCGCGTTCGCGCACGAGGGGGGGGGGGCAGGGAACGCGTCCAGAGAGAGAGGAGGGGGCCGCGAGATGCGGGAGATCTCGCGGCCCCAGCCATGGTGTCGGGCTGTTGTCGATGGTCGCCGATGCGCCGCCACGGCGCGGCAGTTTCTTCTTCCTGATCCGCACCCACCCCCCTGGACGTCCCCGGAACAGGCGCGGACCCACTCTCTGCGGCAGGCTCGAGAGCTGAGGCCTTGGGGGGCACCCACTGCCACGCCCTCCGCGCGGGCGGCCCTCCAGAGCCGCAGCCACCAGGGGCTCGCCATCATCATGCGCGTCCTCCTGCAGTCCCACGGGCTCGTGCTTCACCCCCCCAAACCCTCTGTGCTTCGCCGGCCCCTGCACCGCCAAGTAGCGCAGCTTCACCACCCAGTAGATCAGTTCCTCCTGCCCGAGCTTCGCGGCAGAGGTCGGGACGACCGACATGCGCCCCATGGTTTCGCAGCTCTGGCGCTCGGCCGAAATCCGGCCTGGCACGGCCGAGGTGCGAGGTCCGACGTGGGCTCGTCGCTGGCCTCGGCCAGCAGCCTGGCGGCGCTTTTCGCCACCCTCTGGCTTGCCATGCCGCTCCGGTGACGGCGCGAAGGCAGGTCCCCGATCGGCTCGCTCCTGGCGGAACGATCGAAGGTTCCCCCACGGATCGAGCCTCCGCGCAGCGCCGCCCGCCTCGTATGGCGCGGCGGCGCGCTGAGGCCGCCCCCCCCCCCCAGGGGCGCGCGCGCGGCCGGGCGCGGCGCCCAGGGGCGAGTGCGGGGGGGATGTATAGAGTTCACGCATACGGCCTTCCTCCTCCTCCTCCTCCTCCTCCTCCTCCTCCTCCTCATCCTCCTCCTCCTCCTCCTCTACCAGCCTGGCCCGGATCGAGCCTCCGCTTGATCGGAGTACCTCACCTAGGGTTGTGGTATCCTCTCTTTCTGTCAGCCTCGTGCGGGCAGGCACTGCGGGCAGGTACTGCGATGACGCGGAGGCCCGATCCGGGCCAGGCTGGTAAAGGAGGTGGAGGAGGAAGAGGAGAAGGAGGAGGAGGAGGAGGAGAAGGAGAAGGAGGAGGGGGGGAGGGGGAAGAGGGGAGCGGGAGGGGTAATGAATTAGCGGGAGGAGGCGGAGGGGAGGAGGAGGAGAGGAGAATCAAGAGTAGCAGGAGAAGGGAGGCTCGTCCGTCTAAAGGCATTCGCAAGTTAGGGGACTGACCGAGGTTGGAGAGAGTCGAGGTACAGCGAGGAGACGGAGGAGGGCAAGGAGTTTGACGTACTGTCCGACCTCTTTGGGTCTCCTGGCTGCCACAGCAGAATCTACTTCGACATCCTGGACAGAACGCGCTCAAGGATCCGACGGCGGGTCGACGCTAAGTGAGGACAAGGGAGACGTTGA